GCCCATGGGGGGCGTGGCTCTTGCAGAGGCAACAGGACGAAGTGACCACAATAACAGTCATATTAACCCTAACCAGCCAGGCACCTACGATGGGCCAAGCCCTGCCCTGGAGTCACCGAGTCCGTCCTCTACTCCTGCCCACGGCCCCATTTTACAGATGAACAAACTGAGGCCCAGGAGGAGAAGCCACTTGCCCAAGCTCCCTCAGACAGTGACGAGGGGAGGCGAGCTTCCAGCCTGATGACCAAGTTGGTGTCATATCTTCCCAGGGCCTGGAAGTCCTGGGGCCAGCATTCAAGTCCCAGCCCTGTCACCACTTCACAGCGTGACCCCAGCACATGCTTTTCCTGCTCTGGACCTCAAAACGGGGGCTGATGTTATTGCCACCAATGATGACTGACATCAATTGCAGGCTTCCGATGTGGCAGGCTGAGCCCTTGACGTGGGGATTCTCTCTGATTCGCCCAACCGCCCCCCACCCCACAGGAAGACGCCTGCACTAGCCTCCTTGTCTTCTGAGAAGGAAACCCAGGCCCAGAGAGGGGTGGCCACTTGTCCAGGAGACCGAGGCGGAGCTGGGATGGGGCCGGCACCGTCCCACTCCGGAACCCGCCTGCCTAAGTGGCCACTCTGTTTCTGACATCACTTGCCAGTGGTCTGACCTTGGGCAAGCCGGGTGGCTTCCTGGGCCTCGGTTTCCCGAGCTGGGCAGTGGGAGGGGCTGGGCCCGTCTCAGGTGCTGCCCATCCATTGATGGGGACAGAGTCCCAGGCATGCTGAGAGGTTGTGAGGGGAGCAGGGCCACGTCCTCATCAGTCCCAGGCCCCGGGGTCTCTCCTGGGCTGGTGTTTGGGGGGTCGTGTGTGGCAGAGTGGGGAGGACGGGTGGGGGCAGACGGTCCTCTCACCTCACGGGGGAGGGCCAGCATCCTTTCCCGGGGGATGGGGTGGGGCGTGGGCTGTGGGCTCAGCCCGGGAAGGACAAACACCGCTACCAGGGCCTCAGTGTGCGCCTCTGTAAGACGGCAATAATGGCGGCTCCTTGGGAGGCGGAGTGACAGTTAGAGGAGGGGCGAGTGGGAAGAGCATCTCCCTCGGCCTCCCTCCCCCCACGCTCGCCCGCAGCCGCACCTTGATGTCCTCGGCGTTGGCGGCCTGCAGCTTCTCCCGGAAGTGCCCGTCCGTCTCCAGCACGTTGATGACCTCCTGGAGGTACCGGTGGTAGTACAGGCCCGTGTCCTGAGGTGACAAGGACTAACATAGCAGCCCCCAGCCTCCGCCCCTCCCTGCAGGGAGGACTCAGGCCCTGCCCCCGTGGGCACCTGCTGAGGGACCCAGAGACACCCCCCCCACCCCCAGAGCAGCAGGCCTGCCCCACGGGACAAAGGATCTGGAGTCAGCAGACCCCGCTTCCAATCCACGTCTGCCTGACCCTCTGGGCCACAGCTCTCAGCTCTTCCCACGTCTGCAGAGGAGACGAGATGAAAATCACATGGGTAAACACCCAGAACAACACCGCCCTCCGAGTAGGTGCTTAAAGAGCAGACACACTGGCATTTGTTGCCAAGCAGTGAAACATACATTCATTCATTCATTCAACAACCGTTCACCCGGCCTCTACTGCGTGTCAGGTGCTGTTCCAAGGGACACAGTAAGTGAACAAGACAGATGGGCATCCCTGGGCTCCTGGTCCCAGCTCTGCCATGCCTAGGCGGGTGGCACTTTCCTCTTCCTGGGCCTCACTCTTCCATTTGAAACATAGGCAATAAATTGGATCCCTCTCAGAGCTGAGGCGCGCAGTAACTGAGATGAGCGGTCTGGCAGGGTGGAAAGCATAGAAAAGCTACTCCATCTATTCCAGCTGCCATTATATAGGTTGAGAAACACCTTGCAGGTGCTTGCTAAACGGCAGCGGGGCAACCCGGCTACGTTACTGTGGGTGCACTCGTCTCCCACAGCTGCTGTAAGGAAGTATGAGAACCCAGGGGCTTAGAGCCACGCAAATCGATCCTCTCGGAGTTCTGGAAGTCGGAAGGCCAAACTGGGTTGGCGGGGGGGAGCCTGTCTTGCAGGCTCCAGGGGAGAGTCCACTTCCAGAGGCGCCCGCCCCCCTTGGCCCCGCATCACGCTGACCTCTGCTGACGTCATCACGTCGCCTCTGGCTCTGACCTTCCTGCCTCCCTCTTTGAGGGGGCGCTTGTGATTACATTGGTGCCGCCTGGACAATGCAGGCTCATTTCTTCCCCTCAAGAGGCTTAACGCAATCACACCTGCAAACACTTTTGCCATACCAGGTAATATAGTCACAGGCTCCGGGAACTAGGCCGGGCACATCTTTGCAGGCCGTTATTCAGCCAAATATGGTTGCCTAGAATCCCAAATCTGCCAGTTACTAGCTATGTGATCTTGACAGGACTGCTAAGACGCCTAGTTAAATTTAAATAAACAATAACTTCTAGTATAAGTAGATTGCATGGCGTGCACTTATGATTATTTACTGAATAATCTGAAGTTCAGATTTAACTGGGTGTCCTGTGTTTTTATTGGCTAAATCTGGCAACCTCAGCCCTTGGGTAAGTTACTTAACGTCTCTGAGCTCTGGTTTCCTTGTCTGTAAAGTAAGGTTAATGAGTACCCACCTCATAGAGGCTCTTGTGAGGATTATATGAGTTAATATCTTTTTTTTTTTTTTTGAGGAAGATTAGCCCTGAGCTAATATCTGCTGCCAATCCTCTTTTTTTGCCAAGGAAGACTGGCCCTGAGCTAACATCTGTGCCGATCTTCCTCTACTTTATATGTGGGACACTTGCCACAGCATGGCCTGCCAAGCGGTGCCATGTCCGCACCTGGGATTCGAACCGGCGAACCCCAGGCCGCCGAAGCGGATCATGAGAACTTAACCACTGCACCATCGGGCCGGCCCCATGAGTTAATATCTTTAAATATTAAACACAGTGCCTGGTACTTAGTAGGAGCTATCAATGTTATTATGATTGCTGTTGCTTTTATTGATGTTTATAACCCTCTGTGCTTTCTATTGGCCTCAGAATAAAGAAATTCTCCACCGTGGCCCCCAAGGCAGTGCCCCTGTCCCCTCTCTGACCTCATCTCCCCTTCGCTCGCTCTGCTCAGCCACACTGGCCTCCTCCAGCCAAGTCCCCCCACTCACTCTGCTCTCCCCCACCACGCAGCCTTTGCCCAAGGTTGTTCCCTCTGCCTGGAATGCTCTTCCCTGCACTTCAGATCTCAGCTCAAGGGACCCTTCCTCGCTGTCTGTCACCTCTGGTTGTCTTCCCAGTGAGCTAGGCTGGTCTGTGAGGGCAGGGGCCTGGCACCAGCACGGTGATTGGCTCATGGAAGGTGCTCAGGAAATGTGTGGGATGAATGAAGGAACAGAGGACTCAAGCTGCCCTTCGATGTCTGCAAAGATTTCACGGAGCAAAGGCCTAACTCGCTGGGTGGCGACCTGCCACACAGGAGCACGGTATGATCTGTGCCGGAGACAGTGACCGGTCCATGCCGAAGGGGAGCTGTAGGAGGATTCAGGCCACAACTCAGGGCATTGACTTTGAGGATCTTTAAAGTTCCAAATTCCCTAAAACCAAAGTTTTCAGAGTGTTTGATAAATACGTGTTGGAATTAATAAATGAACAGTTTATGTGCCCCTTCATAATTGAAACTACAACTCCCATGAGCTCCATGAAGCAAGAACACCCTAGTTAGCTAACAACACCTGCTCAAGGTGTTACTGGGAAATGTAGTTCTTTTTTTTTCGGATTCCTTCTGAGCGGAGGGGCGTCTTAAAAAGAACAGAGAGGTTTGGGGAGGGGGAAGTGACACAGCTTTTTCACTTAAAATCTGACCTGATTTCCCACACCTGAGAGTCAGGGACTTAGAAAGCTGTCCGCTCCGCTTCCCCTCTAGTTTTTCACCACGTCAATGCCCCAGGACTGCAAAGAATGACAGGCAAACTCCAAGCCGCATCCGTAGGGGGAGTATCCACGCAAGGGGTCTGCGGGAATTGTAGTACCACTGCAAACACCTGGCTGGATAGCAGGGCAGGGCCACTCACGGGGCTCTCGGTCGCGGGGCTCTCCTCCTTGGACGCCCCCCGCTCTAGAGGCACGGCCAGAACAGCGCGGAGCAGCAGCAGCGGTGGCAGGAGGAGCAGGGCTGCGCGGCGCCCAGAGGGAGGCATGGCGGCGTGATCTGGCGGGGGGACGGAGAGTTGAATAATGTCTGTCCCAAGCCTCCTCCTCCCCCGGACCCAGGAGTCTGGGCCCTCGGCGCCGCCACCCCTGCTCCCGCCCCAGGAATCAAGACAGCCTCTCGTTTCCCAGGAGCCAGGATTCCGAGCCTCCAGCTTTTCATTCCTTAGACCCAGGAGTCCTGGCACCCAGCACCGTCTTCGCTCAGACTCAGGAATCCGGGATCTCGACCCCTTCGCTCCCCAGATCCAAAGATCCAGGCCCCCAGCCTCCCTTTTTCCCAGAATCTAGAAGTACTGGTGCCCAGCTCGTCCTCCCCGGGGACCCAGTTTTTCAACCCTCTGGTCCCCCGTCTCCCTTCCTCCCCAGGATCCCAAGAGTCTAGAAGCCCCCAGACCCTCACCTTTCCCGCACCGCAGAGGGCCTCTTCCCGGGCTGGGACCTCCGGCGCGTTCTTGGCGATTTCCCTCCTAGGCCACGCCCACTTTCCGCGGTGGCCCCGCCCCCAGCAGCCTGATTGGTCTACGCTAGCTCCGGACCCCTTCGTCCCTGTCTAATGGCCCCGCCTCTTGTCGAAGTTGCTCGGCTGCTCTCGAAAGCTTCGTCTCCTTCCTCGGAAGCCCTACCTCTTGACGTCGCATTTCCTGCCTTTTAGGCTAAAGGAGAGCGGAGGCTTTCAAAGAGAACTACGACTCCCTGCAGGCCGGGGGTACGAGTCAACTTCCGCGGGCGCCTTGGCCCCTTCGCCTCATGGGAGTTGTAGTTTTCCCATTTATTTTCTCCCCAAGAAGTGGCTGCGAGTTACAGATCGGTAGCAATAGGCACCTTATAAGTTTCTTACATAAGGGAGTGGTTTAGAGCGAGCCTGCGATGCGGCCTCTCTTGGGTCCCTTTAAGGAACACCCGCATGCCCTTCCAATTCAGAATCCCCGGAGCCCCGTTGCCCGGTTGCCGCAGAGGCCAGGGGTCATTGCTTTGTTGGAAGTAAAGCTTGGGGGGCCAGGAGGGAGGGGATTAAGGCAGGTCCCAGTGGGAATTCCCCTTTCCCTCTGACCTGTCTTTCTTCCCTTGCTTATTTCTCAGAGATTAAATTCCCCGCTTCCAAAGAGAGGGTTGGGTATGTTTAGAAATTGGCCAGGGAGGCAAGGCATTGAGGCGTGAACGTGAAAAGCTTCTCTGGGCACGAGAGGAGAAGAGGGGGTCTCCTGGATTCCGGGCAAGTGGGTGCTGGGGGTCTGGGGTCACTGGAGTTGGGTGTTTGGGGTCCTGAGTTCCCAGGCTTGGGTGTAGGAGAGAGGTATTTGGGGAAGAGAGAACTGGACTCCTGGACCCCTGATACTGATGAAAGCTGCAATCCGGGCTGCCTGGGTCCTGGAGAAAATGTACAGCCTGGGATCAGGTGTTGGAGGGCAGAGTCCGTTGGGATGTTGGGTGGGGTCCTGACTCCCCGTTCTTGCTTCTCCAGAATGTCTCAGGAGAATGACACTTGGAAAAAAGAGTGAGTGGGGACACGGGATGGGCAGGGGTGGAGACGGGGGTGCAACCGGGAACCCAGAGTCGGATTCTGCCCACACCCACTCAGCTCTGGCCTCATAACGGTGTTGGCAGGTCCAGCACCATCAGCCTTGCAGGAAGGGGCTGGGGGCCTGGACCTCTGGGTCCTACCTAAAGGGAGGGAGCTATGGATGAAGACTCATGGGTCTGAAAGAGGAGGGGCAGGGGGCTTGGGCTCCTGAGTCCTGAGACAGGAGGGGCCCGGGATCTCTGACTCTTGGATTCTAGACGAGCCAGTGCTGGGAGAAAGCTTCAGACCTGGTGGAGTAGACTCCAGTTCTGCCCCTTCTGTGACCTCAGGAGTGCTCAGAACCCTAAATTGGGCAGGGGGAAGGAGGGGAGGGAGGAGCTTTGGGGCAACAAGGTGCCCTGCTTGCTGTCACCATGAGCCTGCATCTCTCTCAGGGTCCTGGAGGATGAGCTTGCTGCCATGAGGCTGCAGAAGCTGGAACAGCAGGTAGTATGCCCAGGAATCCTGCTACTGCCCATGTTTCCATCTTCCATAACTCCCAGGGGCCCCATCCCCATGACTCGCTCTGGGACTCCTGGCCTTCATTGGCTCTCTTGAAGCCTCAAGTTCTGCAATTGGGAACTGAGAAAATAGGAATTCGAGATCCTAAAGAAACAAACTTTGGGCCAGCCCCATGGCCTAGGGGTTAAGTTCAGTGTGCTCCACTTTGGTGGCCCAGATTCGGTTCCCCGACACAGACTTACACCAATTGTCAGCCATGCTGTGGTGGTGACTCACATACAAAATGGAGGAAGATTGGCACAGATGTTTGCTCAGGGACAATCTTCCTCAAGCAAAAAGAGGAAAATTGGCAACTGATGTTAGCTTAGGGTAAATCTTCCTCAGCAAAAAAGAAAAAGAAAAAAGAAAAGAAACAAAGCTTGATGATGAGACTCCACAATTTCTAAGGAGCAAGGGTTCTGGAGGGCAGGAGTCCTAGGTCCTGGGGGAGGAGGAGACTGGGTGCCAGGACTCCTGGATCTGAGGAAGGAGGACCTGAAGGATTGAGGGCCTGGACTCCTGGACCTCTCCCACGGATGCAGGCCCCCCCTTGCTCCGGGCCCCTTTCACCCCTGTCTTCGGTCGGTTCCTGGCCCCCACACACTCCTTTCCTGCTCCCGCAGCGGCGGCTGTTTGAGAAGAAGCAGCGACGGAAGCGCCAAGAGCCCCTCATGGTTCAGGCCAATTCTGACACTTCCCTGCGGCAGGGGCGACTGCGGTGGCGAGAGGAACGCCTCTGGGGTGACAGCGGTGAGGAAGGGTTCCTAGGGTCTGGCAGGAGCGTAGGCCTGGAGGGAAGGTCTGTGGGAACATGGGGGCAGGGCCTAAAGGGCTCAGAGGGGCGGAGCCCCGGGGCGGGGATTTGATAGAGCGCGGGAGTGGGGCTCAGAAGAGCCCGAGGGCGCGACAGGTGGGGGCCTTGGGGCGGGACCTGTGAGAGTTCCGGGGCGGAGCCAGGGAGAACACGGGGAGCAGGGCGTGGTGCAACGAGAGGCTGGGGCCCGAGAGAAGCCCGTGATTGGGCTTGTTAGAGCTCAGGGGCGGAGCTTGGGGGAGCCCTGGACCGCCCAGAGAGCCCGGGTGGGGAGGGGGGAGTAGGGAGCCCGGGGGCGTGGCCTGGGAGAGCCGGGGACCGCCCAGAGAGTGCGGGGGCGGGGTCTAGGGAGCCCGGGGGCGTGGCCTTGGAGAGCCGGGGACCGCCCAGAGAGTGTGGGGGCGGGGCCTGGAAGAACCCGAGGGCTGAAATTGGCAGAGCGGGGGAGGGGGTGGCGGGGGCGGGGCCTGGGTAATTTAGAGACAAGGTCCTGGAGAGACTGAGAACCCTGTGTGGGACTGTTTACGAACCGAGTCAAAAACAATTTAGCGGTAGGGCTGTGCTTGTTTGCGTCTCAGGATGGAGTTTGGGTTCTGCGTGGGTCTTGGGGGTTTGGGTGGGCAATCCCGGGCGACGTCTGGGAGCCCAGTGAGGAGGCGCATCTTCTTCGCAGAGGACCGGAATTTGTACATCGTGTTAAGGAGCCTCGCGGCACATTTTCCTAGGCCTCGGGAACCCTTTCCTCCAGAGGAACGTGCCCAGGACACATCCGCGCTCTGGTGCCCACAGTGACCTGAGCACCGTGAGCTGCAGTGGAGATGGCAGCGGTGAGCGCGGTCCCCTGGTGCCGCCGACAGAAGCAGGTATTCTCAAGTCCTTGGACGGCCTATACCCTAGAACTCCATTCCCATTAGAACCCAGGAATCTGGAACCTCAGTACTTGATTTCTAAAGGACCCAGGAGTCCAGGCCCCCGCAGGCCCCGTCATTCCCCACACCAAGGAGTCCAGGTCCTGAACCTCCTCCTCCAACACCCAGGAATCTGAATCTCCAGCCCTTTCCTCCCTGGTACTCAAAAATCCCCGTCTCCAGTCCCCCTCCCTATCCTGGCTGCCAGAAAGTTCCGATCTGGAGTTGGAGGAAGTCTCCGTGGAGGATGTTCCTGCCTTTCCCCCTCCTTATAAAGAGCCTCCGGGGACTCGACGCAGGGGTTGGCCAGCCCTCCAACGATCTGGTAATTTGGGGGACATTGGGTGAAATTTGGCCCCCTGGGCCATGTGGCAAGTCCTTCCCCTTCTTTGTAACAGCTTTGTTGAGACACAGTTCACATACCATACAATTCTCATTTCAAGTTTACAGTTCCATAGTTTTTAGTATATTCACAGAGACGTGCAACCGTCACCACAATTTTAGAATATTGTCACCACCCCCAAAGAAACCAGTACCTTTGAGCGATCTCTGCGCCCTTCCCCTCCCTCCCTGCCATTTCTCCCAGCCCAGGCAACCACTGATCTACTTTCTGCCTCTTTAGATTTGCCTATTCTGGACATTTCATATAAATAGAATCATACAGGATATGATCTTTTGTGATTGGCTTCTTTTCCTAACCATGTTTTTAAAGTTCATCTCTGTTGTGGCATTATCAGTACTTAATTCTTTTTATTTCTTAGTAGTATTCCACTGTAATGACATTTCCTTTTATTCTCATGACATGACCAACGATTTCAATAACAGGGCTCTTTAATGATCACTTCACACTCCACTCCACCCTCTCATTTTATTTCCCCGGTCTCTCTGATGCTCTCTTTGGGACAAGGGAAAGGCAGGACGCTAACTCCTCCCTGTCCTTACCCAGGGCAGTCAGAGACTTTTCAGCCCGTGTAAACCCCGTGCACGTGGGGGAGGAGGTGGATCTGGCAAGTGAGGGCGACGAGTATTAAGTAGGGGTGGAAACTCGGGAGTTCTGGCCTTCTCTAGCTATCACTGGTGACCTTCTCCCAAGCTCCTGGAACCCAGGTGTCCTGAGCTCAGCCTTCTGGCTTCTTCCACCCCTTAGGGGCGAGTGCAGAAGAGGAGAGCGAATCTCGGGATGTTGGAGATGAATACGAGACGCTCAGAGCGGAACCAAATCCTAGAATGGATGGTTACGGGGGACGTGGTGACTTGGCTTCCAGCAAGGTGGGATGTGGCCCAGCCAGTGAGGATATTGGAGGAGGAGGGTCAACCTTGGACTTTAGAAAGAGTGGGGCTAAAATTCTGCAGCCCAGTCAGAGGCCCTTTTTACTGGCAGATCGGTGTTATGATTGGGCTAGCAGAGGCTTTGTGTGTGTACCATTTATGAAGTCAATCTACTCACAATTTGAAAAATGTGAGCATATACATGCAAATCCAGTTTACCGAAAGGCAGTACGCTTCGGAGAGGGTGAAACAGAAGGGCCAGGCGCCACTCACTATGGTATTGATGAAAGTGAGAAACACAGTTTCAGTCCAGTAGATCTGGGCCCTATTATATGCTACCCAGACCAAATCAACGCTGGTTTTAGTTGAATGGGCAGTGCTTTCAAAAGCATTCTCCAATCGGTAGATGGAGTGGGTGTGGCTGCAGAGGGGAAGCTAATGTTGCTGGCCAATCAACAGATGATGCGTGCTCGGCTGGGTGGGCCCCTTGAACGGATTGACCAATCAGCAGTTGGCCGGGATGTTTGGCCAATAGGCAGAAAACTTGGTCGAGAGAGGGCGTCACCCTGAACTGGGATGGCCAATCAGTAGTTAGCAAGGCTGAGGGGGCGGGACTTCTCGGCCGTCCCTCAACTTAAATTTGGCGCGTGGGCTAGGGCGAAGACGTGGAAGAGAAGGAAGAGGAGTCGGAGTCTACAGCGAGGAACTCTCCAGGGGTGGCCGACGAGGAAATGTCCGAGGCCCCGGAAAGCAAGGGCGACGCTGGCAGCAGCAATGTGGGGAGTTCGCCCCACTCGCCTCCCCGCGCCCCAGGCCCTCGGTTGGGCGAGGACATGGAAGCGTATGTGCTGCGGCCAGCGCTGCGCGGCCACACGGTGCAGTGTCGCATCAGCCGCGACAAGCGTGGTGTAGACAAGGGCATGTTCCCTATCTACTACCTCTACCTGGAGGCGGCTGACGGCTGGAAGGTGCGGTCTGGCAGTCTCAGGAGCAAGTCCCACCTCCCAGGGGCAAGTCCCGCCCCTTTCGGAGCAAGGTCAAGACTTACATGAATCCAGGCCCTGCTCATCCTTGAGCCAGGACCTGTCAACTCCGGTGCCAAGCCCTGCCCTTCGCAGAACTAAGCTCCTTCTCTGATAAAGCCCAGTGGCATAGGCCCTACCCATTCCATAACCAAATCCTGTCCACTCTCAAGGCGGGCCCGCCTTTCTCAAAGTCAGGCCATGCCCTCTCAGGATCGGAAACCTCAGCCCTCACAGATCCCCTGGAGGTGTTGGCCCCATCTTTGTAGGTCCGAGACTGGCCCTTTCACTGAGGCTTCTTTGCTGTCAGGCCCCACCCAATCCTGGGATAAGTCCTGCCCCTCAGGAACCAGGCCCCGCCCCTCGTGGATTTCCCATCCAGGCCAAGCCACGCCCCTTTCAGTCTGGCCATTCCATTCCCTGTGTGGCCCCCTCTCCTCAAGGTACTCTATCCCTCCCAGAAGGAGGTGTTTTCCCTACTCAGTGCCAGCCCTGCTTTTCCCGGAAGAAACGCCTACCGAAGTCCTGCTGCAGTGTTCCGAGTGAGGGTCCTCCCTATTCTCCAAAGCCAGGCCCTGCCTGGGCTTAGCCCTGACCCTGGACCCAGTGGCGGAAGGAATGAGGGGGAGCTATTAAGATGTGAAGCTCCCCTTCAGGACCCAGCTGATGACCTCCCTCAGGGAGAACCGCATCTCTGAGCAAGCCGTGGGACGCTTATTGCTCCATTACCCTTTCCTCTGTCGTGGGGACATGGTGTTTCCTTGTCTTTGGACCCCTAGCCCTAGCCAGATACCAGAAATCCATTCTGATGGGCTGTTCCTCCCATCCACAGCACTTCCTTCTGGCTGGGCGCAAGAGGAAAAGGAGCAAAACCTCTAATTATCTCATCTCCCTGGACCCCACAGACCTGTCTCGGGATGGGGACAACTTTGTGGGCAAAGTCAGGTGGGCAGAGCCCCGATGTGTGTGAGCAACACGTGACAGGGGGCCTAGGGGAAAAAGGGGACAATTGAACTACATTTCCCAGCAGGGCTTAGAGCACAAGTTCTTCCTGCTCTAGGGCCTTTTCTGTTAGGGACTGATGGGTTTTGTAGTTCTTCAGATTGTAGCTCCAGGGTGATTGGGAATAAAAGAACTGAAGGCTTTGGAGCAGAGGCTGGCATTTAAGACATTTGACTTCTTGGGAGGCAAGGTGCTAGGACTCCAAATTCCTGTGGGAGAAGAGGGCTAGGATGTGTGAGTTCTTGCATCCTAGAGGGAAGAGCATTCCTAAAGGGTCAAGGCAGGAGGCTAAAAATCAAGGCTCACCAAAGAGAGGGGGCTGGGACCATGGATACCTGGAACACAGAACATGAGTCTTATGTAGAGGATTGATGGGAAGAGTTGATGAGATGACAGTTAAGCACTTAGCATACAACAAAACGGTAACAATTATTATTTTTATTCTGGCCACTCCCCTCCTGGAGCAGATCCAATGTCTTTGGCACCAAGTTCACTATCTTCAACAATGGGGTGAATCCCGAAAAGAAGAATGTCATCCCGGAAACTGCTCGGATCAGGGAGGAGCTGGGGGCTGTGTGCTATGTGAGTGTCTGGAAGACGAGAGTGAATGGAGCAGGACGGTGGGGAGGGAGAAAGAACCAGGCCAACTGGAGCATAATACCTCCAGGAGACAAACGTCTTGGGATTCCGAGGGCCCCGGAAAATGACTGTGATCATTCCAGGAATCGACGCCCAGAACCAGAGAATTAGCATCCAGCCACAAAATGTGAGTGAGCTAATGCTGAGAATCTCTGGGTCAGCTGGGGGACCGGCCCTACATCCTAAGGGAGGAGGGGGCCGATGGGTTGCAGAAGGTCACATGCGAAGCCGGGAGGACTTTATCAAACTTGCGTGTCTCAGGAAGGAGAGACTAGGGACTCAAAATTCTGAGTCCGGAGGAAAAAAACCAATTGGTGGTGGGTCAGCCACGCCCCCTACTTTGCCCTCTAGGAACAGGAGTCGCTACTGAGTCGCCTCCAGCGGGGCGCCAGCCGGGGGCTGGTCCTGCTGCAAAACAAAGCCCCATCGTGGAGCGACGAGAGCGGCGCCTACGTGCTCGATTTTCATGGTCGAGTCACTCGGGCCTCGGTCAAGAACTTCCAGATCGTGCATCCGGATGACCGTGAGCTCCTAGGAACCGGTTTACCTGGGCATGGGGGTGGGGCATGAGCGGGGACGGGAACTACTTCTCCCATCAGCACTTGAGCGTTTTCCTAGGCCGGGCCGACTCCACGCTGTTGGGAAGCCTGTCTGGAACTCAGAAGGTTTCCAGGCTTAGTCAGGGCGCCGCACAGCCTCATGGGAGTTGTAGTTCTCGCAGCTCAGAGGCGCGCAGCGCGGAAACAAGGTTCCTGACTTCCTCCTCAGCGGATTACCTGGTGCTCCAGTTCGGCCGCGTGGCGCCGGACACGTTCACCATGGACTTCCGCTTCCCGCTTTGCCCGCTGCAAGCCTTCGCCATCTGCTTATCCAGTTTCGACGGGAAGCTGGCGTGTGAGTAATTGAATGAAATACTATACTCTCATCAGCTTCCGTGCCTGCTCATTTGGAGACAGGGCCCCAGCATGGCTTCTTTTGCACCAGCTTACTCATAACCAACCCTTATTAGACGCTGCCTGGGTGCCCAGTCCTGTCCTCTAGGGATCGGGCTGTTCAACAAGCATCTGCTCTTGTGGGACTCACAGGGGATCATGGGAGATGGGTCTCAACAAAAAGTCAGAATGCTAGTCGGCTCTAAGGAGAAAAGCACATGGAGGCACCAGTCGGCTGGGTCAGAGCAAGGCATGTCTAAAAAAGTGATTTTCATCCTACATCTGAAGAATCACCAGGAACTAGCTGAGCTAGCGGGGTGAGGGATGGCAACATCAGGCAGAAGGCACAGCTCCTACAAAGGTCTTAAGGTGGAAGGGGGCTTGGTTCGTTTGGGAAAATGGAAGGATAGTGTAGTGGGAGACGGGAAGCAGTGGACAGAGTGCAGGACATTTGGGCCACTCTTGTTTGAATTGCTGCACAGATCTTAGGAGGTCAGAGAAGAGTTCTGAGCTGGAGCCATAAACTTGGATGGGTATTTGAAGACATGTATGAGTGAGATAGAATAAGTACAATACTAGCTTACACTTAGAGAACGTTATTTGACAAGCATTGTTTTAAATGTGAACTCGTTTGGGGCCCTACAGTCCCATAACGTATGTGCAATTGTTAGCCAGCCTTTAGGAGATAAGAAAACGGGGTCTGTAGACACCGGGCTTATAAATGTGAAATCAGGCAGCTGAAAACCTCAAGGAACTCAACATCGAAAGACCAGTAGGAGGATGGGTCTTTATATTCCAGGGAGGCACAGAAAACTGGAGCTTAACCTTTGTTTAGGGATCAGTGAGTCTAGCTCAGCCCCCTTAGGGAGATAATTGTCCCAAGTTTAATAAAATTTCGGTGGAAGCCAAAGAAAAACTACAAAACCCACCAGCCCTTAGTTCCAAAGAAGCTTCAGGACTGGAAGAGGCAAATTCAAGGGATGATGGGAAATGTAGTTTATCCTACCTTTGAGGCACTCCCCTTTATGCTATTCCCCTCAACTACTTCAGGGACCCATGAGCAGTGGCTACTGTCAGTTTAGATACACACAGTGACATTGCTCACTACAAATCAAAAGGCTTTATTCCTTATATAAACCAACACTTAAAAAAAATAAATAGTTAATAACATGCAAACCACATGATCTTAGCCACGCCTCCCACTGAGGTCCAGGCAAGGAGATAGAGACACGTAAGGAGGGGAGGGAGAGGCCACAGCATGGCTCAAGGGCATGGCCTGGATGGAGGATGTCTGCAAGGCATGGGTAGCGGCAGGTATGGTGGCCAGAGAAGCGGGAGGGTTCCTGAGGCGTGCCCAGGCCCTCGCCCGGGCAGCAGGGGTGAGGCAGGGGCCCAGCTCCTCTTGGGCCCGGGCGATGCGGTGGGCAAAGCGGCTGCGATCCCGGGCGAGCTGCTCCCAGGGACCCCGGCGGGCAGCCTGGGCTGGTCCCGCCCAGACGACCAGGAAATGGATGGTGACTTTCTCAGAGAAGCACACCTGGAGACGGACCGGCACAGACGGCAGGACCGGGAGACGCAAGATACACACGGCCACAGGAGAGGGGAGAGGGGGCGGAGAGAGAGAGAGATAGAGAACCAAAAATTAGTTACACAAAAATGCTTGCTATCTGGCTAGTCACCTGCCTGCCACCGGATCCTCCATCTGACTCACTGAGGTGGAGGTGGAGTCCCTGGGGCTGACATGAGCCACAGCTGCTCCCTTCTCCCACAGGGGCCCGGCCTCTTGCAAAGGATTGCACTACAGTGAACACAGCCCTCCCAACAGAATGCACATGCAACCCTCTGCAACACACGGGGGACCCAAGAACTGGGGCCTCCAGCCCTTCATCGCCCAGACCCAGGAGTTCCAGCTCCCATCGCCCTCCTTCCTAAGACTCAAGAATCTGAGTCCTCAGCACCCACCTTTCTGGCCTTTAGCGGGGTCTCAGGCTCCAGATCCCGGGTGGGGGTTTCTGTGGACTTGAGCCGCCTTTGCAGTCGGAGGGGCAGCCGAGGAGGAGTCCAGGGAGGTGGTGCCTTCTCTCCAGGCAGATAGATGGCCACTTGGAAGGGGCTGGGCTCAGCTTCTCCCCACTCCTCAGCAGCTTCCCCTCCCTCTGTCTCCTCTCCAGGTCGGAGAAGGGCACTCTGGGCCTGAAGGGAGGGACTTGGCCCTGAGACAGCTGCTTCTGAGTCATCTTCATCCTCATTCTCTTCCTCCTCCTCTGTGTCCTCTCCTGGCCGATACACCCAGGCCCTCAGGAAGGCACTTGTGGGAGGGATGGAAGAGGGACCCTCAGCTTCTCCCTCTTCCTCAGCTGCTCCTGAATCACTGAGTTCATCTTCCTCCTCTTCCTCCTCCTCCTCCTCTGTGTCCTCTCCTGGCCGATACACCCAGGCCCTGAGGAAGGCACTTGTAGAGGGGATGGAAGAGGGACCCTCAGCTTCTCCCTCCTCCTCAGCTGCTCCTGAATCACTGAGTTCATCTTCCTCCTCCTCCTCCTCTGTGTCCTCTCCTGGCCGATACACCCAGGCCCTGAGGAAGGCACTTGTAGAGGGGATGGAAGAGGGACCCTCAGCTTCTTCCTCTTCCTCAGCTGCTCCTGAATCACTGAATTCATCTTCCTCCTCCTCCTCCTCTGTGTCCTCTCCTGGCCGATACACCCAGGCCCTGAGGAAGGCACTCGTAGAGGGGATGGACGAGGGACCCTCAGCTTCTCCCTCTTCCTCAGCTGCTCCTGAATCACTGAATTCATCTTGCTCTTCGTCTTCTTCCTCTGTGATCTTACTGGGTTGATGCTGCCTCGTCCTGAGCAGGGACCTCTGGGCTAGAACTGAAGAGAGTGGCTCTGGGTCGGCTTCTCCTTGCTCAGCCTTTTCGTCGTCCTCCTCTTCGGACTCGGCTCCTGAGCAACGCTCCCAGGGCCTGGGCTGGGAGCCTGCAGTTGAGGGGGATACGGAGGTCTTTGTGGCTTCTTTACTCTCTGTTCTTTCTTCCTCTGTGGCTTGATTCTCCTCCTCCCCTGAGCAATCCACCCAAGCTCTGGGTTTGGATCCTGGAGATAAGGGGCAAGTGGATGTTCTGGGACTTTCTTTGTTTATAGAGTCTCCCTCCTTCTCCTCCTCCACCCCTGGACAACACTCCCAGTGGAACGGAGGAAGAGAGAACGTGACCACTTCTTTATCTTCAGCAACTCCTCCTTCCGCAGATTCCTCCTCCCTCGGAGGGTCGTCTTGCAAGGTTCTTATCAGAAGGCTGGGGGACCGGAGAGCAGGCCGGCCATCTATAAACTCACTTCCCTGCTCTCTAGGGACCTCGGTGGCTTCCTCCTCGCCTTCATCATCTGAAAGTCCCCAGGCTTCAAGAGGAGAAGTGTTGGCTTTCCAGTCAGGGCAGGCCCCCCACGATGCTTCTCTATCCTCCTCAGCCGCTCCAGGGTCTCCACCCTCCTCTTGAGGGCGCCTGCCCCAGGGGGCATGGTGGGTGGCCAGAGAAGCCTTAGTTACGCCCTCCAAGCCAGCTTGTGCCCGATGTGCACTCGTTACTGCCTCCGCCAGCCAGGGCTCTGGAGATCCTGGGCCCCTCAGGTGGCTCCAGGCCCAGCTGAGAAGGCCCATCAGCGGAGACAGGAGGAAGAAGGGGTGGGCATCCCTCCAGGGGGAGGGGTGATGGGGCGCTTGGCCTGGGGCCATCTGTCTGGGCTGGGGAAAAGGGAGAGAAAAAAAGAATAAAGTTTAGAAGCCATTTATGGAAGAGCATCAGGGGATGACTCCTGAGTCATAGCAAAGGGCATAGTAACACAAATAGCAACGCCAGAGTCCCCGCCCACATTCTTTTCTGATCCCAGCCGCTCCCATCTTTACGCCTTGGTTCCCACCTCTCTTTTCTCTGAACACCAGGAGTCTGGGGCCCTAGTTCTTTCCTTCCTTAGACCCAAAAGTCCAAGCCCCCAGCCCCATCTTCCCTCAGCCCCACAAGTCCCAGTCCCGAGAACTGAGAAGGCAGGTCCTCTGCTTGCTTCCCGTGGGGACAAAGTCCTACCCCGGTTCTCCCATCCTCCCGAGGATTGACAAATCAGGCCCACTTCACCCGCCTCCCTCCGAGACTCAAAAATTCCGACTCCCATATGGTTCCTTCATTGGGGACCCAAGAATCTGACACCCGGACCCCTCCTCCGTTAGAGTCGGCAACTCCAGGCTCCCAATCCCTTTTCCTTCTTAAGTCCGACCTCTGGAGTCTGTCCCAGTCCCCCGCCTCCCCAGACACTGGAGTTCAAGCTCCCAGGCCCTCCTTCCTCAGGACCCGGGAGTCCCGGCTTCGAACCCGCCTGTCTGGGTACCCAGAAGCCCAGGCTCCCTCCTCATTACCGACCAGGAGTCTGATCCCCAGGCCCCAGGCCCCAGGCCCCTCGGGGCCCAGGCGTTCGGACCCCTTCACTCACCGGCTCGGGGCTGCGCGTCAGCCCGGGGGCAGGAGCGCCGGCTCGGTCTTCCACAAGCGATCGCAGGTCCGGACGGCTCGGGAGGCCAGCGCGTTCATCTCGCCCTCCGGCGTCGGGCTCGGGGATTCAGGTTACTCAAGACAGCAAGCGCTGTCGCGACAAAGGGCCGCGGGGTCGCGCAAGATGGAGCATGTAATCAACAACCGGGAGCTGATCCAATTACCGCTGACGCCGCCCGCAACACTTTTATAGTCTAACGCGGCCGGACGTGATGACGTCGCAAGGATGGGCGGGGTTTCGAAACGCAGACGTGGGGGAAGGGAAAATAGGGTTGGAATTCTCGCGGAAACTCCGCGCTTTGTGACGTCACGGCGGCGTTTCCGAGCGTAGCTACGCCCGGAAACCGGTGAGCTGTCAATCAAACGCGTGAACAGCTTCAACGGGCAGTGAGCTCCCTCAACTCGTGCTCCAGGCAAACGCCTTCCCTCCCGAATTTAACCAGCAGGCTCCAG